AAAATACAAAAAAAACCCTCTTTTCGTAATAGCACCATGATAAAGTTTACATCAAAGATAACTAAGATATTTATTGAAAATAATTAAAAACTTGAATAAAAGACATAAAATAAAATTTGAATAAATAAAGAGATATATCAAATAAGTGGAAGGGGTAGCATAATGCAATTCCAAACAAAATTACAGTCAGATTTTTGAGGGACCTTACAGACTTATTCCAAAATTTAAATGGAAGAATAAAAACAAAAAAAGAAAAGCTAAGTCAACTTTGGAAAACATAAAGGTGGAGAGAGACTTCCTGTATCAGACAGATACATATACTACTAAGCTATAAAAATCAAAACAGTACAGTACTGGCATAAGAACAAATTGATAATAGAACAGAATAGATCGTAAGTAGACAGGGAGTTGACATAGAAACTTGATATTGATAAAGATGGCACTATAAACCAATGAAGGAAGGATAAGTTTTAAAAAAATGGATTTGGAAAGAAATGGCTTCCAATACGAAGAAAAAGAAAGCAGATGTCACATCTTACACTTTAAACAAGGATGAACTTCACAAGGATTCAAGCTATAAACGTGAAGATAAAACTAGGACGCCAATGAAAGAAAGTGTTGGGTAATACCTTTGTGACATAGGGATGAGAAATGGCTAAAAGCCCACAACCCATAAGGTAAAAAATGTGATAAATCTGAATATATCAAATTAAGGATTTCTGCTTAATGAAGGAAAGATTACAAACTTGGAAAAGATATTTGCAATATTTAAAGTTGACAAGGAACAAGCAGATAGAAGTCTTGTAAAGCAATAAAATAAGACAGAAAACCCAAAGAAATGAGCAAAGGTTTTCAATAAGCGGTTCACAGAAGGGGAAATGCTAGTTGCTAACAAATATTTAAAGAGAAATTTATATTCATTAGTAATCAGAGAGATACAAATTAAACAGAATGAGGTATCTCTTTAGCCTGATAAGGATGGCAAAAAATTAGAAGGTTGAATATTTCCAAATGTTGGTGAGGATGTGGGGACATGGGGCCATTCTGGGAAACAATCTCAAAGTATTTAGCTAAATAACATTTATACATATAACAATGCATAAATGTTATAACAAAGATTGTGAGAATGATGCAGGACCGGGCAGTGTTTAGTTCTGTAGTATATAAGGTCACTATAAATCGAAACCTAAAGCACCTAACAACAACGACTAATCTGCATATGCATGCGAAAGCTGGACAATGAATGAAAAAGACTGACGAAGAATTGATGCATTTGAATTATGGTGTTGGTGAAGAATATTGAATATACCACGGACTGCCAAAAGAACAAACAAATCTGTCTTGGAAGAAGTACAGCCAGAATGCTCCTTAGAAGTGAGGATAGTGAGACTTTGTCTCATGTACTTTGGACATATTATCAGAAGGGACCAGTCCCTGGAGAAGCAATGACATCATGCTTGGTAAAATAGAGGATCAGTGAAAAACAGGAAGACCCTCAATGAGATGGATTGACCCAGTGGCAGCAACAATAGGCTCAAACATAGCAATGACTGTGAGGATGGAACAGGACCAGGCAGTGTTTAGTTCTGTTATACATAAAGTTGCTGTGAGTTGGAACCAATTTGATGACACCTAACAACAACAACAACATGACTAACCTATTTTACTCCTTGTATATATTCCAGCAAAAATCCTCCTCGGGTTCATGAAGGGACGTGCACAAGGATGTTCATCAAAACATTGTGGTAGAAAAAGATTGGAGGCAATTTAGATGTCCTCAAATAGGAGAGTAAAAAAGTAAAATGTGATGAAATCACACTATGGAAATTTAAGCATCAGTTGAAACCAATGAAACTAGATGTACAAATACCAACCTATTTAGATTAAAAAAAAAAAAAAAGAATAGAGTGAACAAAGAAATGAAATGAGACATATAACACAATTCCTTTTATGTAAATTAAAAGCACATACACAAAAACACTATATGTTTTATAAAGAAACACTCATATTTACGGACATACATTCAACACAGTAGAGTCGGTGCTTAAGCGGGGGAGGGGGATGGGCTGGGAATTAGGGGATTGGGGATAAAGGGAAAAGTAAACAAAACAAGCAAGGAGCTTGCACAGACTAAGGAGTATAATGTGCTCTGAGCTCTCTTCTAAGGTCCAAGAAGAAAGTTCTATGGCGGCTTATTTCAGGATAAGGCCAGGGCACGGCCCCCAGAAATATTTCAGGTGAAATTTTCAGGTGATATCAGCTGATATTTCAGGTGAACCCTGAGTAAGATTTAAGCAGGTGAAATGGAGAAGAAGGAAGAATTCTTCAGGAATGAGAAGAGTGAGTTCTTGGTGAGAACAAGAACTTGGTGTGTTTGAGAAACTGAAAGAAGTTCAGAATTGCCATGAGGGAGACAATGGCAAAACTTGAGGGCAAAGATATCAGCTGGGGCCAGATCATTAAGTTATGTTAAGGGCTGTAATGTGACCAGATTTGAACATCAGAAAACTCAAGCCCACTCTGGCCACTTTATGGAAAATGGAATGGAGGGTGGGCACACAGGCAGAGACCAGTCTTGTCCAGGAGAGAGACGGTGATGACATCTGCAGCAGGGGGAAGTGGGGACAGAGAGGAGCGGATGCAGTCCAAAGAAATTTAAGAGAAGAGATTAACCAGTCTCACTCAAATCTTCACAACAAATACTTGAGGGGTTTTACAGATAGGGAAACTGAGGTTCACATGGGTGATATGACCCCATTAAGTGTATCAGCCTTCAAAAAGACTGTTCTTCCACTTTTCCTTTAAGGCAAACTGCTCCACCCACAGACATGGATTTTTAGGTGTAGCTGTTAAACCATATGATTGAACTCCATGCCTCTTCCTTTGGGTGGGCATTCTGACAAACGGGTGGCCAACTTCTACTCTACTCAGTGACCTCTGTCCTATGACCTGGTGTAAAACTATGATATGAACTAATCAGAGTTGTAGGGTTATTTTCTAAATTAAGAAATACTGAGGGACTATGCCAATTAGCAGGTGAGTCTGCAGGTGAAAGACATCATTAATTATCATTGTTGTTATTACTACTTCATTTTACTTGTGATAAGGGTTTTGACCCAGAGTATGTAAAGGATTGGAAAACAGGAATGAGGGTAGAACTAGCCTGGGATTCCATATCCATGTCCACAATTCACTGTCCATGTGATCAATCCGTTGTTCCACCTAGAAGGAGAACTGAAGATGAAAGGATGTCATGAGGCTGATACAGAGGCACAGCAAACCAAAGTCCTAAAAGAGAAATTGATACCAGAAGTGTGGTTGCACAAAACAGAACTTCAGTAATAACATGGAGTACTTTTGGAGTTGTTTATTTGGATTTAACCTAATTTAACTTTTCTCTATATCCTTAGGTTAAATTCTAATAGTCCTTGGAACTCAGGGGCAAGGCAACTTAGTAAGTTGTCTACTTTAGACTTTGATAATTGTGGTCCCACTGAGGTCTAGACTTTTATTTCAAGGGATCGAGGAACGTAAGTACTGCAGAGTGAACAAGGTTTACATGGAATAAGATGAGTTCCAATCCTAGTTGCCCAGAGTCTGTAAACAAGGAGACTCAGAGTCTTTATTTAACTCTGCTTCAAGAAGCTCTTTCTGACTATAGCAAGATCTCTGGGATTGCTGAAAGCTGAGTCCAGAAACATCAGATCTTTCGTTGAACTGTATCATTAATTGAATTCCCAGCTACATTGG